TATTTAAATAAACTTCTAAAACCATAAAAGTAAAACAACCAAAAAAGCTAAAATCAAAGAAAAACTACCTCAGGAATATGGAGGCTAAGCACACAGGATGAGATTTTTAAACATTTAGAGTGGTTGCCAAGCACACATAGATGCAGATTTATTGGTAGATGGAAGAAGTCAGCAGAATGATAATAAGCAGAATTCGTCAATTAGAAGGAGGCAAAGACACAGACTGCAACACCACCTTGCTGGGGCAATATTCGATTTTTACTCTGCACAATGCATTGCTTCCCATTTCATTAATGAAAAGGCCAAGTTTTGACTACCTCTTGGTTGAGCACTTAGTTCAGAATTGAACTTGTTAAAAAATTCCCTCCCAAAATCCACACTTAAGAACATATCAAAAAGGACAGAATTTTATCTAATACTACTTTTAAGATATTTCTCTCATTAATATGGAACAAAAGATATAGTTTATACTGTACTTTTGTCCTGGGGTACAATGCAAAAATGTGTATTCTATCACCATCTGTTAAAATGTGGGAGGGGTGGTGATCCTTATCTCTGTGGGAGATATCCTCTGCTGATGTGCCATCTGATAAGATCGGGGATGATCATCGTTATCTATTCACAACCCATCCTTCCTCCAGAAGATATATTCTGTTAATGGGCCATTAAGTCCTATTGTGTGACTGATAAGATTACATCATCCCATTGGGAGATGCTCCAGCCAGGGGCAGGAGCCAAGCCTTTCCTACCTAGATAAAAAACTGGGGTTTGGGACCCGAGGGCAGACCTTTCTACTGGATCCCAGAGGAAAGTCGGACCTTTTCCACATCATCGCTGGATCTACGGAGGAAAACTGCACCTTCTACAGGAGCACTGCTTCAACAGAACCACATCTGTCATCCAGGAGGACTGCAGCCACCATTTATACGGACTGCTACCAACACCCTGACTGACAGGGTGTCAGGTTGTATTTCTGACTCTGTCGGTGGTTTTTCTTTTGTATTATTGCATGTATTTTATTTTTTCTCCATTTTCCTATTAAATTGTATTACTGACTTGGAGTCTCTCACTGGTTTTGCTTTCAAACCAGCACAACTTTGTAAAATCCTTACATTTTTAAATATGGCCGAGTAAGGTCAAGGTCAAGATCCTGCACCTGTATGGTAAGTATTACCATACAATTAATGCTTTCTTCTCAGAACAGAAGAAGTTGGACATAATCTTCAAGTTTCTCAAGTACTAAAGGCATTTCTGTCATTCTAAGGCCTTCTCTCTGTTGCTGTCTCTCTTTGTCAGTATCAGATGGTATTTTAAAAACTCTTACCTGTCATTTCGAGTCCAGCAATGAAATGAAAATACACATAAAGCTCTTGGCCAGGGCAGAAGGGCAGACTCAAATCTGTTATGAAAACATAGGTAGATTCATATTAACAGTAAATTTGGGCAGTCAGATTTGCTCTTTAGCAGCTTACATGGTGATGCAACCATGCCTTAGAGCCTACTACATTCAGATTCAGAAGGGTATCCAAAAAGCACAATTCGAACAATGCTCTTAGACATATGCTTAAAGTTCAACGTCTGTATTACTAAACTAAGATTCAGCAAGTCTCAATTCAGTTCCTTCATGAAATGCTAATCTAAATAAATACAAAAGCTCATATAATTACGAATAAGGCAGAAGCTTTTAACTTTTCCTCTCCTTTGTGTGATTGACCAGACAAAATACAGTAAAACTAGTGAGAGCCAGGAAACTATTGCTGGTGCTATTACTGCATCCCTACCAAAAACATAAATAATCTCCTTAGTTCAGAGGCAGAGATTCTGAAGATTATTTCTAACACTCGTATCTGTACAAATAATTTCTACAGCTGTCACATATCTGCACTAAACCCCAGTTACCTATGCTACTGCTGGTATGTCTTTACAAGATTTTTCATAAAGGCTCCCCTAGCCAATGAAGGACTGGCATTTTCCAATCACTGTTAAGTTGCTATTGCCACTCTGCAGCTGCACAAAGCTTTTCATTATTGCCCAGAATTTTTTTTTAAGAGTCTACAAATCTGGGGGGCCGATACAACGTTTTAACACACTACTCTCCTCTGATAATCATGCTGAACATGTTTAGTCTATATGCAAAAAAGTAGGAGGCAGAATTTAATTTCCATGACAACATTCTGAGGTCCTCAATGAAACTATTGAAATGAAAGTTCTAACTGAATAGAGTATTTTAAAAAATTGAATTTTGTCTGTTTAAGAGACTGACTAAATAACATCTATGGCACAGATCTAATGATTTTGATACCCAAGAAAACAGAAAAGAGAAACATTGGGACAAAAGTCAATTTTATAAATGGCAAAACGGAGGAACAGAGATTCTGATGTCTCCAAAGTTACACAAGAATTGGCTACAAATTTCGTGTTATAAATTACTGTGTGAATCACAAAATAATCATTCCTTCTAGAGAGTGTTCCTGCAAAACAGTTCTTTGATGACCACATCTTTGCACACCACAGAAATATTTGGATAGACTGTGGTGGAACAATTAAAATAATAATATACATGTAAATGGTAAAACATTATTTTAACTAAATAGTACAAAATCTGAAAATTATGATGTTACTGATGAGTCACCCACCTTAGAGGTATTTAAAGGATATGTAGAAGTGGGAGGAAGGGACATGGTTTAGCAGTGGACTTGGCAGTGCTGGGCTATGGTTAGACTCAATGATCTTAGAGGTCTTTTCCAACCAAAATGATTCCATGATTCTACCTGCCATTAAACCGACAAGAGCTAAAAAAACCCAGTGTGATTCACAACTCACCCACTTGTCAGTTTCTGGGTTTCTTGGAAGCCTAACAAAACTCCTTTTCTAGTCACAAGATCTCTTTTGCCTCATTCTGCCTGTCAAAGGATCATTTTACATTTAAGTCATTGCAATGCTATTTCAAATCATGGATACTCTACTATATTGATAGAATAGTAGATAACTCTGCTACTGAGTTAAGATTCAGAAAAATAGTTTTACAGCCTCATATGTTTAGGTTGTGTTCAAAGACAACTGCTGGGCCAGTAAACATACTTTAAAAGGGACTGAGGTTAGCCAATGTGACACTCAACTACTAAATCCTGAAGGACAGGCTGGAGGATCTGGAACACTACAGGTCATGTCAGCATGACCTCAGTGCCCAGTAATGTTGTGGAACAGATCATCTTGAGTGTGATCACACAGCATGTGCAGGACAAGCAGGGGATCAGACCCAGCCAGCATGGGAAAAGTCAGATCCATATTGACCAACACAATCTCCTTCTATGACAAAGTGATCCACTTAGTGCATAAGGGAAACGCTGTGGGTGCTGTCTTTCCAGACCTGAGCGAAGCCTTTGACTCTGTCTCCCATATAGTCTCCTAGGGTGCCTGGCTGCTTGTGGCTTGGATATGTGTGTTTGTTGGATAAAAAACTGTCTGGATGGCTGAGCCCAAAGAGTGTTGGTGAATGGTGCCACATTCAGTTGGCAACTGGTCACTAGTGGTGACCGGTACTGGGCTCAGTACGGGGGCCTATGTAATATGTTTATCAATTACATGGACGAGGGGATCGAGTACTCCTTTAGTCACCATGCAGAGGACACCAAATTGAGTGGGAATGTCAACACGCTGAGTGTAGGGAGGTTCTGCAAAAGGATCTGGACATGCTGGATAGGTGGGCCAAGGCCAGTGGTAAGAGGTTCAACAAGGCCAACTTGTTGTTGGCAAGTGATACAGCCAACCAACAGGTCCTGCCCTTGGATCACAATAACCCCAGGCAGTGCTACAGGCTGGGGGAAATGTGGCTGAAAGCTGTATGGTGGAAGAGAGAGCAGGGATGCTGAACATGAACAGAGCCTGAACATGATTGTCCTGGTTTAGGACAAATTTGGGAGGAAAGGCATCATACAGTCACCCCAAGACAATGATACAGCAGCATGCCCAGGTGGACAAAAAGGCCAATGGCATCCTGGCCTGTATCAGCAATAGTGTGGCCAGCAGGACCGTCGATTGTCCCCTTGTACTTGGCTCTGGTGATGAGGCCACACCTCAAGCTCTGTGTCCAACTCCAGGCCATGCAGAAGGACACTGAGGTGCTGGAGCGTGCCCAGAGAAGGGCAATAGAGCTGCTGAAGGGTCTGGAGCACAAGTCTTATAAGGAGTGGCTGAAGGGAGCTGGAGTTGTTTAGCCTAGAGAAAAAGAAGCTCAGGGGTGACCAAATCATTCTCTACAACTCCCTGAAAAGAGGCTGCATCCCAATATGAGTCCTTCTCCCAGGTAACAAGAACCGGCCTCGGGCTGCGCCAAGGGAGGTTTATATCGGATACTACAGAACATTCTTCCACCATAAAGGCTGGTTAAGCATTGGAACAGATTGCCCAGGAAAGTGGTTGAGTCACCATCCCTAGAAGCGTTAAAAGAAGTGCAGAAATGGTGCTTGATTCTACTACAAATTCCTGTCTGCAAATGCGTTATGTACTACGAGGTCATACGAGCGGCTTTGCTTCCTTTCAGCGGGCGGGCTCTGAGACTCTTGGGAAGCCCTGCTGAGCAGAGCTTGGTTTCCACACGCAGCTGCCACCGCCCCGGGGCGCACCTTGCCGTGACGTGAGTGGTGAGCGATGAAGGAATCCAGTCCCGGCCAACTCCGAAGGCGCAGCACTCCCGCCGTCATTATCATACCGGAAGTGGCCGCGGCGCGCGGGGGGGTGGCGCGGGGGCGGGGCCGGGCAGGTACTCCCGCGCCGCAGTGCACTGGCCCCGCCCCCTCCGGGCCCCGCCCTCCCCGCGAGCTCCGCCCCTTCCCCGAGCGGCCGCCGAGGGGGGAGGGGGATGAGGGGGCGCCGAGGCGGCGCTTGTGGTGCAGCCGCACTCGTCTGACCGGGCCCCGCGGTCCCCGCCGCTTCCTCCGTGCCGTCCTCCGTGCGCCCCGCACCACGCCGCCGCCTGGGGCGGGGGAGTCGCGGAGGGTGGATGCCTAGCGGGCACCCTCGGGGCAGAGACCTGCGGACGCCATGGGCTGCTGCAGCTCCGCCGCGCAGGTGAGTGGCCCGTGTCCCCCCCCTTTTCCGACCCCGCCGTCCTCTGCTGCAGGGCCTTGTCACACCCGCCCGCGGCCTCGCTGCCCACCCCGCGACTGTGCCCCCCCGGCCCCGGGTCTGCCCGTGTCGCTGTCCTGTGGCTGCGCAGCCGCTTGTCCCCTCCACAGCCGCGCTCTCTGGCGGCCGTGCATCCCTTCTTGTTCCCTTCGCAGCACAGCTTCCCTCAGGCTAAGCACCGCTTTGCCGCCTCCCACCACGGAGCCCCGCTTTCCTGTGGCAGTGCATCCCCCTCGCTACACCTGTAGCGCCGTTCTCCCGTGGCTGCGCACTCTACTGCGTCCCAGTCTGTAACCACGCTCTGTCATCGCTGGGGACTCATTGCTTTCTCTCCTCGACCAACAGCTCTGCCCTCCCGTGACTGCGACCACCTTGCTTTTCCCTCCCGTAGTAGCCTTGCTGTTTCGTGGCTGGATATAACCCCTTTACATCCACTCGCCGCAAGCCTTCATGCATATTAACTATGCACCTTTTTGCTCCGTTTGTAGCTACGCTTTTCCCACTCGTGGCTGTGCACCCCCGTGTCTACCCCCCCCCCCAGCCTTGCTTCTTACCATGCAACGCACTTCCACCCTCTGCCTACTGCTCTGTGTGCTGCTACTCCTGTGGATCATCCTCACCTTGCCCCTTCTTCCCCAGCCCTCCTTTGGCTTTGCAATCTGTGGTATACCCTGCTCCACTTTCGTGCTATGGCTGCAGCTGCAGACTTCCAGTTCTCACCTGCCATCCTCATAGTGCCTTTCACCACTGTCCTGTGATCCACACCCCACTTCCCCCCGCCATGCCTCAGTACATCTCTCTACATAGCTCTGCATTTCCTGCCCTTCCCTGCAGCATGTTCTTTGGGGTCCCTACTGCCCTACCCGCCAGAGAGAAGCTATTCCATGGGAGAAAAGTCATCAGGCCCAGGGCATCCCTCAAGTCCACTGCCCCTGGAAAGGGAGACCGTCCTAGTCCCAGCCTCCTTCCTCATTCTGTGGCTGAGGGTTCAGGTGCCTCCCTACATCCATTTCCCTGTTTGTGATTGGTCCCGTGCGCATCTCTTGTTTCCGAGGTCGGTTTTTCTTTCTTCCCCCTCCCCCTTCGCTCTGCTTTGCCCTTACTGACTCCTTTTTTTCCCCCAGAGTGGTGCTGCCAGGCAAGGCACAATCGGGAGCTCCACCCAACGCTCTAGTTTACGCCTCTGCTTCCCATTTTAACTTTGCCTTTGAACAACACGGCCAAAACTATGCTGTTTTTTTGCATGGCTCTTTTCTGAAGGCTGTAGTACGAACGATCACGACTGATGCCTTGGCTGTGCTTTGCTCACTTGTAGATGTTAGTTTCCTTTGGCTTATCACTTGCAGTGGCTGAATCCAGCTTCCAGCAGACTGCTTATGTGGGAAAGTCCGTCTCTGCTGTCCCAGATGACTCATCACAGATAGGAGTTTTTGTAGCTCAGCCGTTCAGGCAGACTTTTATTTTTATATAAGAGCTCTGTCCTTCCAATGCAGAATACTGCAGAGAGCTGTCCAGTTACAATAGGAAACATCCTTTCTGTATAGCAAATATACTGCAAAGACGAAGGCAATCAGCTTTATGGTGCATGAACAAATGATTTTAATTAAGAGAGTGATATATATGCTAAATGTTAGGGGTGGATTTTGAAATTGTTCAGTCACTGCAGTAGACTGCCAGAGGATATTGTGAAGAGTATATTGTTTGAGGTTTGCTAAAAACATGTTAGATAAACATCTGTCAGGAGTGGCTTAAGGAAAGCTGGTACAGACTTGGAGCACTGAGAGTGAAGTTCATGTTTTGAAGTAATGTTTTGATACCTTTGCCAACCTCGTTTTCTGTGATTCGTATCCAGATTGCTTTTCTTAAGTGTTTTGAAGGCCCTTTCTAGCTCTTTTGTAGGAATTTGAATTGCAGTTCACAGTTCTTTTCTTAAAGGAAACTGCAGGCTTTTTGTGGGTAATGTTAGAGGATGAGTTGGTTTGCATACCTGGCCTGTTTGTGGGATTCAACTGATTTTGGGTTTTAGGGAAATTTGTGTTCTACTGCCAGATTGTATAATGTTAATAGTATTCTAGTAAACTTTACATTTGCCTTCCTTATGTGTGGCAAGATACAGTACAACAATTGAGCTTTGTACTCCATATATATATATGGCTGAAGTATAAAGAATAGCAGTTTATTTAATTTCCTAACCATAAGCAATGGTGTGTTCCTCAGGAAATCCAAATCAAAGGCTAGTTGCTAAATATTTTATCAGCAGTTTTGTCTGGTATATGGATTACAAAAACCTTGCTACATGCCATACAGCACTACATTAAGTCCTAATGTCTGTCCTATCATCCCTTTTATCGTTAAAAGTAAGTGTTGTGTTCCTCATCTACAATGGTCTCTGCACTTCCCCCTCTTAAATTTTTCCTGGGCAGGGGTCCATCAGACATTCCTTCATGTTTCCTCGCCTACTTTTTGCTTCTTCCTTTGTAGCTTCATATTGGTCTTTGGCATAATCTCTCCTCTTATGAATGCCCTCATTCCTTAAGATTTTGTTTTTCAAGTAGATTCCTCATTAAGTTTATTTTTCAGCTCTCTAGCCTATTTGATCTTCATCTGCTAATCCCCATTTATGTTTCTGATGGAAATGATAACTTCTGTTTTGATTCTGCCAACCATCTTATCTGATTTCTGCATCTCCAAGTCCCTTTCTCATGACTGCTATCTTCTCCTCTCATTCCTGATAATGTGTCTACCTGTTTGTTGAACTGGATAGATTTCTTTGTAGTTTTATTCATAGCTTTTATTTCATACTCAGTTATCTATTTTTTCTCCCTAAATATGTTTCCCAGTTCCTTTGCTTTGCAGGCTGTCTAAAGGCCCCAATCGTAGGCCTTTTCCCATGCCTCTTCCCCAGCAGAATCGAAAGATTTCCAGAGAAAAACTGATTAGAATTGACATGTTTACCTTTATTCAGCAGTATTGATTGCTACTTACAGAGACGTATTCTCGTGTTTTTCTGCTTTTTTTGCCTTTTTAACTACCCAAAGCCCAATTCATTCAGTTTTTATGTTTTAATTTCAAATTTCAGGTTTTTACCTCCTGCTGCCATCTTACTCCCTTCCTAATTTTATTCTGAGCTGCTATTCTCCGTCCTTAAAAATAACAGCACTCTAGTCTATTTCCCTTCTTTTTCAAATTCCTCAACAGAGGAATGTATGTCTGTTGTCACACATTCTTTCTTCATACTAAATTAATTCCAGTCCAAATTCTGTGTTGTACTGAAATTGTCTTCAGTTAATATCTCTATAGGTTTCTTGTGCCTAGGTTGCAAGGATTCCACGTCTTTCTTACCCTCCGTGGTCTCTGTTGCTTTCAGTAGCATATGTAATCCTCTACCACGTGATGTCTTATTCTCCCTGGGGTGTCTGTAGTGCTGCAGAATTTTCCGAGTTGGAAGGAACCCACAAGAATCATTGAACCCAGCACTTAAGTGAATGGTCGGTACAGGGATAGTAGTAGTGTTTTGTAATTAGTCGCTCCCTTCTACTCTGTGATTATGGTTGGTTTGCCACTACTTCTGTCTGTGGTTATACTTCCAGCCTTTCCCCCCCTTTTGTTAACTTTCTGTTTTACCAAGTTTCTCAGCTTTATCTGTTAAGAGTTAAATTGTTAAATTAAACAAGAGAGTTAAATCTGTTAAATTAAACTTGATGTAACCATACCAGACTTTCTTCCAGATGAGCTAATTCTTTCTGTTGCTCCACTTCTGTTTTGCCTGCTGAGGTGATTAGAACTGAAGTACTTTTTTTCCCCACTTTCTTTCTGATTTTCATTTTAGTTTTCCATGTTTGCACCAAGTTTTTTCGCTTCCCCTAGTGTAGCATCCTCTGTGATCTCCACTATTTCTTTATCATCACAACTAGAATTCTTGTTTATTTCTTGTTACTTTTCAATGTTACCTGTTGTTTCTCCTTGGTTTTATGAGGGTGCCATCATCTTTCTTTCTTTAGAGGCTTGTGCAATTCTGTACTTACTTAGGATCACTAAGCTGTCATTTTTTTGTACTTGCTGTCTCTTTACTATGACTATCTTGAACCTTGAGCTTGCAGAGAAAAGCTTGTGAAATGTCGCAACATCTTAGCAGTGGTCTTAAAGCAGTCTTGTTTACTTATTGTTAGTTGTCATGAACAGATCTTCCTAACGTTTCTTTGAACTGTAGTTCAGCCAAAGTGTGCTATCCTATATGAAAAGAAAATCTGTAAAGGAAGGGACAAATACTGCAGTGGAATTTCTTATCTCCTGTCTGGTATTGCTGTTACTTGTCAGTACCTTCGTGTTGTTTCAGCCTACTGTCCTCTTTTGGCCTTATCTTCATCATGAGATGGGTGTTGTCATAAGAAGGGTGCTTCTGTCTGGATGCACCTCTTTTGTCATGGATCTACTGTGCAACAAAGCTTAAGTTTCTTCTTGCTTTTGATGGAGGTAACTTGAGTTTGTGGGGATTTTTTTCTATGTTTGTGCTGTTTTGGAAATGATCTCTTACCTAAGTGTAGGGATCTTTTGAGCAAATGGTGCTGAAGTTCTGAGTTGTTAAAATAATTGCATTTCTTTCAAATCTTTAGTTTTACTGAGGAAGAAAAATGGAGTTGAGTGCTGGTATTCTCTTCTCTGGCTTTTCATTCTTCTCCTTTTCCAGTGGTATTTTCTTCTATGTCACAGCATCAATCCATTTTAAAACTGGATTTTCAGGAAGTAACTGAGTTGGCGTTCATCACTCCTTTGTTGCCACAACTGTTAGGCTGTGCTGTAAATCTGTTTATTTGAACTAATCCTTGCAGGTTTTTTGTTTGTTTTTAGCAAGAAAACTTATTTTACAGTGTAACTCAAATTATTCCACTGATCTAGTTTATAGCACAGTTCTGTAAAGTTTGTATTGTTATATCTGAGGGGAC